CACTGGGCGTGTCAATCAATTTAAATAAATATTTTATTAACATACATTAATAATCATGAAAAAATACTTTTAATTGAACTCGAGTGGACTCGGGAATAATTCCGAGTCCTAAAAAAAAAAAAATGTTCGAGTACGAGTCAATTCCGAGTCCAAATGCACACGAGTCCATGACAAGACCAAGAACATTAAAATATGGTCTCGAGACCGAGTCGAGTCCGAGTCTCGAGTACTACAACACTGGTCGGCCGAGTCTAACCCTTACGGAAAAGAAGTTTATTCAAGTGTGCTATAAGTATACTTCTTTTAAACTAAAAAAATAAGGTAGTATACCTTCAGTCTATGTTTTATGTACTTCTCAGAAATATACTTCAAATTGCACTTGACAGAAAAGTGTAAGTATATTTAGCCTATTCTTGTTGATCGAGATATACTTAAAAGTATAATTAAGTATTCTTGGCTTGTACTTGTGTTTACTATTTTGATTGAGTAGCTTATTAAATACTTTTTTTTTAGTTTTGAGTAAATAAAATAAGCATGGAACTGAAACTGTACACAGTTCTCAGAGAATCTCTCCCAAGAAGAAGCTTTAAGCCTCTCAGACAAATTTCAGAGAGAATCTCATCAGTAAAAATGAATACAACAGTTTTTATAAAGTAGGGGTATGGCAAAATGACATAAAACATGACATAATTTCCCTACAATTTGATTGTTTCTTCATATAATAACCCTTCTGTTACTAAATAGGCAACGCATTCTCACCCCAAGGCGTCACCTTTGACCATGCTTCAATATTTGACGTTTTAGGCGCCCTTTAGCGTCACTTACATGACGCGATCCTACGGCGTCATCTAACTGACGCTAAAGGAAAGCGTCTGTTAGAGGACGCGGTTAGGTTTAGGTGTGGGGTGGGGGTAGGGTACACGCGATCCTAGGGCGTCATCTAACTGACGCTAAAGGGCGCCTAAAGCGTCAGATATTGAAGCATGTCCAAATGCTTCCCAAGGCGTCAGTTAGGTGACGCCTTGGGAGTGAGAATGGCTGAAATAGGAGCAAATTCTGCTTTTGTGATTACTTCAGAATTACCACAAGGTATAAAGTTTAGACATCTGTCTAGTTGCATTTCCATATTTGCATATGAATGTTGTTCCCGCAAGAAAAACAAATAGTTATGATTAATTCAAAAATCCCATGTTTTTTTTTTTTCAACAATCTCATGACCAAAATGTTATGTTTTAAAATAGTAGGATGTTACTTACTATAATAATATAGAATATAATACTCTGGAATATAATTTGTTTGCAACATACCGGAAGCTCACACAGCACAGAGATTTTAGTAGAAAAACATAAGTAGTATATATAAAGGAAAAAAAAAAACTCATTACCATCAAACATTTGTGCAGAGCACCTAGTGACATACATAGTAATGCCTAATTTAATTGTGATGAAAGAACTAATACGATTTCCATCTTTAATAAAAAAATAGGAATTTAATATTTCATGTAATACATTAAGATAGGCCGCACAGGTGCTGCATAATAGATCATGCAATGCCATATTATGCTGCTCATCTTGACTGTGATTTTACTCCTGGAATATTTTAGTATTATCAAGTAAAAAAAAAAAAAAAATGTGCAGACCAACAGTGACATCACGGTGCTTGCAATTTTTGTATGTGGCAATCCAAACTTGAGGAAAGGTTATACAAATCTGGACTGTTGGACTTTTTTGAGGCAGAGAATGACTGAAAATAATTTTAAAAGCAGGATGTTTCCGCCTGCACTGTGAAATTGCCTGTTACGTGTTCATGAATAAAAATAATACGCTTTAGCAGAGAATCGTGCAATGCAGTGCGCATGAAGTATAACCGCCGAATTGAATGTGTATCTGTGATGCGTCAATCTAAACAAGGCTTAACCCTGATTACTATTCTTACCTTTTCTCCTAGTTCAAACTTCCAAATGCCTAACCTTGATAGCAGCACACATTTTAGTGGAGGTCCTCTGTCAATTAGAACACACAGTTAAGATACATTGACTACCCCTAATCAGTGGGAAATGACAATTAGTTAAAGCCAATTTGGTGTCCTCACGGGTGCCAAAGCTCTGTATGAATTTGTACGATGTGAACTGCATGAAAACACATGATTTTTAGAAGCACGTAAGCATGATGGTCCACTAAACATAACTGTATGTGGGGCGTAAGCAGTATGAATGAGATCATACGAATTTTGAATTGTCATGAGATTATGTTGTCAAGTACATAACCACTAAGTCAAGAATGTGATTTCTTTATTCATGCGATCATATTCTTCTTCCTATTTCTGAACCGGTCTCATATTGGGGTTTTATCCAGAGGCCTTTATACGCCACACTACTCTCTGCCCTTCTCTTTAATTTATTTCCCTTTCAAGCTCTCCTCTCGTTTTTTTCCTCTGAAACCGGCTAATTATCATGCTCTGTGTAGTCATTAGTCAGAAAGCAAGTGCGTGTATGTGTGAGCATGTGTGTTTGGAGGACGCTTTAGCTCCTAGTGTTGTTCGTTTTGCTTGCGTTGCCTTTAGTGTTTGTACGAAGGACGTGAGACACCGGCCGGTGAGAAACACGGTGAAATGAACAACATGAGACATCACAGTAGACTCGTTTAATATCGGTTGGTGGGAGGGACATGGAGAGGCAGACATGGAGAAACAAAAGGCTGGAGAGTTCACTGCTTTGTGTATATAACTATCCTTCTTTCAGTGGGCCGCCTTCCAGTCAATTACCGTTCTTTGCTGAAGCCTGACAATGACTGAAGCTGATTATAAAACGAGCAAAAAGCTCACAATCTGTCAGGTTAAATAATCATCTTCATTCAAATATGAATAATTTCAGACTCTGCTCTCTGGATAATTCATATTAATTTTGCCTTTGTGTTTCTGTTGACATTGGATTGTTACACAGAATAGCGGCGGATAAAGTGAAAGCAGAGTGTGAGGAAATATGTAGACTCCACAAAACATATTTTTTGTTAAATTTATCTCAGAATGCGAGCACAAGGACTTTGCCGCTCACACACACACATATACACACAGTATATCAGTGGCAGTTAGTGGTGTTCTGAAATTAGAAGGCAAAGTCCTGTTATTTAATGTTTTAATTAATACAATGTAAATGTATGTCCCCAGTTACACTTAATGTTGTCACATTTTCCTGATTAAATAAAAACATTACCTTACATTACTTCAAAAATGAACATTTTTATTTTTACATTAACAATATAATTCATTTTCTATTTATTAAAACCAAGTATACATCACAAATTAATTTTTTTACATTTAATTCCAATATAATAACTAAAGGCAGTAACAATTTAAACAATGTTTTATTTGTGTACTGATGTTCAGTGGTTCTTTTTAATAGCCAACATATTTTCGGATTAAATACGGAGATGTATCTTAAATTTCACCAAGCTGATTCCTCATGGAAAACCCCACAGTCATCATGTTTTCAGGCCATTTCAATTTTGATTTTGACGTGACATAAAGTGGTGATATCTAAGTGGGTGAGCTGTTTATTTGCTTTTATTAGTTGTCCCATTAAAGGAGAACTCTGGCGCAAAATGAACCTTCGGTCTAATAAAACATTGGTACCTAGTCAACCGTTCTCTGAGATTTGTTTACATGATAAATCGAATGTAAAGAGTTTAATCTCTAAAAACTGTTTAGCATATAACGCTAGTAATGGGGGAAATCGCTAGTTTATACCACTAACAAGGCTCAAAATAGCCCCACACTAACACAGTAACATAATGAGGGTCCGTACATGCAAAACGAAGCATTGAGAACTTTGTAAGTGTACAGACTGTTTAATAAGAAGACATTTTGTAAACCATCTTTGGAAAACAGTCTCGACTAGTCGAACCACAAATGACGTGCTAAGTGAGCTGAACTACTTCTGAACTGTATGAACGGCGTTCGTGGTTCGACTTGTCGAGACTGTTTTCCAAAGATGGCACTGTCTGTATACACGAAGTGGACTGTCTTTACAAAATATCTTCTTATTAAACGGTCTGACAGTACACTTTGTGTATACAAACGGCGCCATCTTTGGAAAACAGTCTCGACAAGTCGAACCACGAACGCCGTTCATACAGTTCAGAAGTTCGCTGAACTTCAGCTCACTTAGCACCTCGTTCGTGGTTCGACTAGCCGAGACTGTATTCCAAAATGGCGCCGCCTGTATACACGAAGTGGACTGTCATATATAAAATATCTTCTTATTAAACGCTCTGCGCACTTATAAAGTTCTCAATGCTTCATTTTGCATGTAGGGACCCTCATTATGTTACTGTGTTAGTGTGGGGCTATTTTGAGCCTTGTTAGTGGTATAAACTAGCGCTTTCTTATAACTTATTAAATGCCGTTATTACTACAGTTTTTAGACATAAAACTCTTTACATTCGATTATCATGAAAACAAACCTCAGAGAATGGTTGACTAGGTACCAATGTTTTATTAGACCAAACGTTCATTTTGCACCAGAGTTCTCCTTTAACACCTTCATTTTGCTCATTCGGATTGATTTGTGAACGTGGAACACGCTTGGAAACAAAAGACAGGATTTATTGCGTGAACCAATCATAGCCAATTATAACCAATCAAATCCAATCATAGAGCAATTGAGGCATTGCATCCTCTCAGAAAGACATGGGCATCCAATGTCACTTAACCTGCTGGTGTTGCTAATGGACAGTGCTACTTTAGAAAAACAAGCAATACACTTTTTAATGTCACATTTAGAAAAATGTGCATTGTTTTATTTATGTAATACGGAGTATTTTCTCATCCTATTTTATTGAGGAGGCATTGCCTCCCTTGCCTGCGTGGAGGAAACACCCCTGATGGAATGAGAATATTCATTATAGTAAATATAGTAACAGTACTCTATTTATTCTAGTCTACATTGCGTTTGACTAGAACGAAGCTAACATTTCCTCCCATCTTTCCTCTGTCTTCCACAGGAGCTGATCTTTTTTCCAACTGCACTGAAGAGTGCAAGGCTCTGGGTCACTCCGACCGTTGCTGGATGCCCTCCTTCATGCCTGGCGACGGTCGCCAGGGAGCAGATTACCGTAGCAACCTGCACGTCCCAGGAATGGACGCGGTGCCGGACACTGAGGTACAGGAGAGCGCGGTTCCGGACGATGCGTGCCATCGGGCCGATGATAGATCATTCTCTACGTTCGGCAAAGACAAGTCACACCACGGCACGCTCACACGCCACGAGCTACACACACTCTTACCAAGCGCCCGAGCGCCTTACAAACCCAACTATCTGTGTGAGTACTCGCTCAAAACGTACGATTTCTGAACCCCACCCCCCCAGATCTGATCCACTGCCGTTATCTGTTTCAAATCTAACCCATGGCTCTCTTTGTATATAACTATTTATATTTCTAAAAAAAACCAAAAAAAAACAACAACATGTAATCCCATTTCTCAAAACACCCTTTCTTGACCTATTCTCTCACTTTCCAATTTGTTTTCCTCTTTCCTTCAAAAGCAAAATGATAAAAAAAACAAAAAAAAAACACCACATGTATAATATATGGACATATCAATAAAGGATTTTTTTGAGTGAAATCGTGGAGTTGTGTTCAACATTTTGTCCTTCCCCTGCCCTCTAAATTTTCCCACCCAAAGCATCTGAAGACACTGGTGAACATATCTTATTACAAATTTGGCTAATCAATGCTGAATTTGCAACTAATATGTCATCCAAACCTACATAACACATACTTTTGTGCTGTGACTTTTCCTTGAGCTGAAATCTATCTCCATCATAATCACGTTATGTCTATAAAACATGCCTATATCTCATCACACGCGTCTGCATCTCTTATAATTGTGATTTATCACATTTCCATTTTATGCCATATAATAAACAGAAATACACAGCATGCCATATGGAATGGAAGCGGTTATTTCTCAGCTTTCATACATCCAACAAAATCCTACATTAAGTATGTGTCTCTTTCATCATGCACTGTATCCATGTCTGTTCTAATCGCCATATGCCATAACTCTACTGTAATCACACTTGCGACAGTCATAGCGCCCTGCCTCCTCGCCTCTGATTATAGCATGTAAACGCTCACAGTCGCTGAAACATCCAGCTATTTGTTACGCTTGTTTTAATGTGCAAGTGTGGGCGAAGACTGAGTGTGCATGTGCATGTATCCTTTCAGACATGTGGATAAGGGTGAACGTGATTTCACCAAGTACAACATCGCAAAGATGTTGATCCAGGAACAATATTCCAATCAACCAATCAGATTTGAGGGATAGGTTTATGGTTAATGTCAAGTTTAGTCTTAAAGCATGGGTTAGGTGCTTCTACATCTGATCTTTCTTATTCACCGTGTATTTCCCTCTGATTTTAGGGATAAGTTATGGGTAGTAGAGTTAGGTTTAGGGGGAGGGATAGGGTTAGGATTATCTTTTTGGTCAGTAATGTTCAGCCCGTTCTCATCCTTTAGCGTCACATAGAACGCTATATGACAAAACAGCGATACTACGCACATGGCACCCTTTATCATTAATATTCACGCGATCCCAAGGCGTCATACATCCTTTAGCGTAATATGAGACTACCCTACCCCACACCTAAACCTAACCATCACAGCTCGTGTTATATTAACGATAACGGGTGCCATGTGCGTAGTATAGCGCCGTTTTGTCATATAGCGTTCTATATGACGCTAAAGGATGAGAATGCGTTGTAATGTTGATCCAGGAACATGTCTTTCCAGCCCGTTCTCATCCCAAGGCTTCATCTAACTGACGCTTTTGACCATGCGTCAACATTGGACGCACATGGCACCCTTTAGCGTCAATATGAGACGTGCCTCCTAGTGGTCTAACCCTAACCCTACCCCAGACCTAAACCTACCCACGCCATCTAACTGATGCTAAAGGTTGCCATGTGCGTCGGATTTAGACGCATGGTCAAAAGCGTCAGTTAGATGATGTCCTAGGATGAGCGTCATCTAACTGACGCTAAAGGTTGCCATGTGCGTCGGATTTAGACGCATGGTCAAAAGCGTCAGTTAGATGATGTCGTAGGATGAGCGTCATCTAACTGACGCTAAAGGGTGCCATGTGCGTCGGATTTAGACGCATGGTCAAAAGCGTCAGTTAGATGATGTCGTAGGATGAGCGTCATCTAACTGACGCTGAAGGTTGCCATGTGCGTCGGATTTAGACGCATGGTCAAAAGCGTCAGTTAGATGATGTCCTAGGATGAGCGTCATCTAACTGACGCTAAAGGTTGCCATGTGTGTCAGATTTAGACGCATGGTCAAAAGCGTCAGTTAGATGATGTCCTAGGATGAGTGTCATCTAACTGACGCTAAAGGTTGCCATGTGCGTCGGATTTAGATGCATGGTCAAAAGCGTCAGTTAGATGATGTCCTAGGATGAGGATCATCTAACTGACGCTAAAGGTTGCCATGTGTGTCAGATTTAGACGCATGGTCAAAAGCGTCAGTTAGATGACGCCCTAGGATAAGAATGTGTTGGACTTTCTTGACAAAATCACCTTATATCCACAAGCCCCGGCTCTATCCTATTTGCATAACTGTTTTTTTTTATTTTATTTTATGGAAATGTTGGGCAACACTCTCACAAGCAAACGTCACAACACTGATGTTTATCAGCGCACCGCCAAAATGTCGCTCTAGAAATGTGTTTCAGAAGGTTCTGTAACGCCTTGGTTACTTTTAATTTGATTTGATGGAATTTTAATACAATTATTTAAAATTTCATTGATAATAAATACATTTTAATTCAATTTGACATGCACAATGTGTCTATAATTTTATTACAATTACATTTAAATTTTACAAATAAACTTAATTGCAATTACATTTAATTTAACAAGTGTTAAAGGAGTAGTTCACTTAAAATAAATAAATAAATAAATAAATAAAAAAAAATAAATAAAAAAACTTTTGCTGATAATTTACTCACCCCCATCTCATCCAAGATATCCATGTCATTCTTTCTTCAGTTGAAAAGAAATTAAGGTTTTTGATGAAAACATTCCAGGATTTTTCTTCAATGGGAACCAAACGGTTCAAGGTCCAAAAGATAGTTTCAGTGCAAACTGCAAACTGCTCAAAGGGCTTTAAACGATTCCAGACGATGAATAAGGGTCTTATTAAGCGAAACGATCACTCATTTTAAAAAAAATAAATAAATAAAGTTTAAGTTTTATAAGCTGAAATGGTCGCCTTGCTCTGTTCTGTGACGCGCGTTCGTGACTCTCCTGTTTAAACTCGTTTATCAAAATGAACGGATCAACAAACAAAATGAACAAGTTGACTCTGGAAAAGATTCGTTCATTTTGATGTTCGAACAAGAGAGTCACAAACTGTCTTTTGGACCTTGAACCGTTGGATGCTGGAATGCTGGAATGTTTTCATCAAAAAATTTAACTTAACTTAATTTCTTTTGACTGAAGAAAGAATGACATGGATATCTTGGATGACATGGGAGTGAGTAAATTATCAGCAAAGTTTTTTTTTTTTTTTTTTTAAGTGAACTACTCCTTTAATGTTACTCTAAATTATCAGTCACGTTATACATGCTATACAAAATAGATTTTTATGTGCTATATTTAATAATTTAATTTCATACTGTATCTCAACAGGATCTTAAGCTATTTTATGTCCGTATTCTACATTTCAGCTCACTCTTCATTTCACAAAAAATAAATTTGACATTCACACAAAGATCATTTATGCAGATCTCACTCAAACGCAAGATCTAAAGATATATTTATGTAATTGTCTGAAAAAAGAAACACTGAGCGATGTTTTAGTAAGTGCATGAATAAACATGGCAACAACAATACTTTTCCTTGTGAGATCAGACTCAATCAGGGAAATAAATGTGAGGATTAGTAAGAACATGATTTTAACTATCCATATGTTCTCTGCCTGTTCTTTGCCCTATAGCACGCAAAAGGATTTCCTAGCACCTTCCGCGTGGACATTCCTGAAAAAGCGTGAGTTTGCTTGGTATCGCGGCCGGCCAAAAGCATCAAGGGTTTCTTTTTTAAATTTTCCTCCGTTTCTTTTTGCTTTTTACTGAACTCAAACACGGCCTATCCGGTCGTTCCCAGCTCTGTCGGACATCTGAAACAGATTCAATCGGATGCGATCCGATGACGTAAGGACCCTGAGAAGTCTCAGCAGGACTGAGAAACCTCGCCAAATCTTCTCCGAAAAGCTGGATGAGAAGGAAGAACAGAGGGAGAGAGCTCAAAAAAGGGATTAGGAGTGATGGAGAGACAAAAGGAGAAAAATGAATGATCAATGGACACGGTTGTTTCCTCACTCTCTCCGCTCTGTGATCAATGTGTCTCTGTTTACAGTCCACTGTAAACTATACCAACTATCTGAGCCCTTTACCCGTTTCGACACACCCACACACACACACTTGTACAAACGTACTGTACAAAGAGCAGCCCAAAACTATGTGCATTATAAACTCAACTATCCGTTTTAGACTTGATTGTTTTCTATAGTCGTTTATTTTTTTCTTCTTAATCAGTGTGGTCAAGTGTTCTTCTGAAGTTACTATCTTTAGAAAAAGCGTGGATGTGGGGGACACACAAAAAAAGGAAAAAGTCAAAAAAAAAGAAAGAAAAAAGACGATTCAGTCCTCTCATTGGCCAACGGATATACTTCATCTGACATTGTGGTTATCTTCACGTGTGCAAGTGTGTACTGTTCTCTTTTTAAGCTTCAAATAACTAAAAATATCTCTATATATACATAAACGTGTATATATATACATATATATATATATATATATATATATATACTTTTTCTGAACCTGTGTAGCCCATTGGATAGTTTCCTAAACACCATATTGCCATAAACAAATACAAAGTGCTGAAAAGTCTTGCATTAAAATTGGGGCTTCAAATCGTGTGGCCTCTCTGTCTGTAAGTACAGAATTATTTGATATGCTGTAGTTATTTGACATAATTCTCTCCCAAACACATCCATAACAGATTACACACAATATTGAGTTGAGACCGCGGGACTAGTCAAATCTGTGTCTTAACCACAAAATAATACACAATTGATGAAATACAGTATGGGATCTCTAGAATTGAATAAAACCAGTGATGAAACACAAAATACATTTTTTTTCTCTCTTTTGTATACAAATACAATATATATATATATATATATATATATATATATATATATATATATATATATATATATAAATCGCCCCAATGTAATGCGACAACTAACTTGTTGAAGAAGAACAAAACCATATTTTTTTCTATGATTAAACGTTGGACTCAAATCTATCTGAGAAACAGTCTTTTGTGACAGCACCCGGTCTCCTCTCTCTCTCTATAACACACATTAGCTCACAAGCTTCATAGTTTCATTCAAAGCAATTGAGAACATCTTTTACTTCTTGGCCCGAAATGATAAGCACGAGTATGAAAGACTTTGATTGCGGATGTTTATTCAGTCCTGCCACACTGACTGTGATTAGAGAGCTGTTTTGAACATTAAACTTCTCTGGCCTTTTCTCCAGTGTTCCTGATTGGCCATTAGAAAAGAGAGAGAGGGGAAAAAAAAACCCACCCAGTTTTGTGTCATGAGTAAAATCAGCGTGCAAAAACAAGGCTTTGAATTGAAAACTCCCGCATGAATAATCAGCAACAGAAAAACATCAAGCACTCCTTTTACTATGAGGACAAATACGATAGAAATTACTTTTCACTTGCACAGAATGGACACAATGAGTCCTCGCAATAACAGTGTGAAGCCTTTTAAGTAAAAATGAGGTCGCCATTTAGACCAGCATCCCTATGAGGTTTATCTTTAATAATTTAGGAAGTTTTTTTTTCTTGTTGTTTTTTTTAAATTTATACTTGACTAAATGTTTATTTTAATTATATATTAGGATTATTAGGATATAAATATTAATATTTCCTAAAGGATTATTTGGAACACCATACTAATACTGTGTTTGGCCCCCGTTCGCCTTCAGAACTGCCTTAATTCTGCGCGGCATTGATTCAACAAGGTTCTGAAAGCATTCTTTAGAAATGTTGGCCATTATTGATAGGATAGCATCTTGCAGTTGATGGAGATTTATGGGATGCACATCCAGGGCACGAAGCTCCCGTTCCACCACATCCCAAAGATGCTCTATTGGGTTGAGATCTGGTGACTGTGGGGGCTATTTTATACAGTGAACTCATTGTCATGTTCAAGAAACCAATTTGAAACGATTCAAGCTTTGTGTGTGTGTATATATATATATATATATATATATATATATATATGAAGAGTTCAGATGCAAAAGCCTCTAAATGGCATTTGAAATTTTCTTTTTGAATGATGATTTTTATCAAACTTGTATATTTAAGTTCAGTAATTTCACTTAAATAACAATTAATAGGTAATCATCATTGCCATTTAAGTGAAATCACTGAACTTAAATATTCAAGCTTGATGAAAATGATCATTCTAGAAGAAAATTTCAAATGGCACTAAGAGGCTTTTGCATCTGAACTGATATATATATATATATATATATATATATATATATATATATATATATATATATATATATATATATATAATAGGTTATCCACCCTTTTAAAGATATTTTCTTTTTCAGTTTTGTAAACTAAACAAACACACAACAACATATGAAGAGTTCAGATGCAAAAGCCTCTAAGTGGCATTTGAAATTTTCTTCTTTAATGATAATTTTTATCAAGCTTATATATTTAAGTTCAGCGATTTCACTTAAATGGCAATGATAATTACCTATTAATTGTAATTTAAGTGAAATTACTGAACTTAAATATACAAGCTTGATAAAAATCATCATTAAAGAAGAAAATTTCAAAAGGCATTTAGAGGCTTTTGCATCTGAACTCTTCATATGTAAGCACAATTTTATTAAATTGTGTACCGGTATATTGAGGTATGCAAGGGAATAAAAAAAATAGCCCAAGTAAATACATAAAAAAACTAAACTATTGCATACAAGTATATCCACCTTTCAAATAAAATGTTACACTTGTAAATAATTTGTAAAAATACATATTTAAATTAGAAAGCACGATTTATATTAATCAATTAAATATTCTAGTGATTTAAATAGTTTAGAGAGCGTGAAATGGCCTTCTTGACATGCTTGAGTTGTTTGAGTTTCTGGGTATTAGGGGTCTCTGCACATGATTTGGGAGTTTGTGAGTATGAGATGGCAACCAGTGAAAACCGAGTTCGTTTTCAAAATTCTCCAAATACCGAGAATAAGATATCTGCTTTCTCTCACATCTGCACATCAGCTGGGGGGGATGGGGGGTTAAAGAGGGGGTCGGAACCATGAAATGTCAGACAGGCACGGCATCCAGATAAAAACGGGGTCAAGAGATATCAGCGAAACACTGAATGACCACAGACAAAGACATGTTATCAGCCAACCTGCCCTCTCCTCTGGGCTCGAGTGCTCCACACAGACACTGTCAGAGCTGGAGAAGATCATACCAACAAGTAAGTGATTGTAGGAGGTCGAGCTCTGCTTATCTCCTTTCATTCTGGAGTTTGTCACGAGACATACCACTAACCAGAAAGACTATCTTGTGATGGAAGGATAGGGGGAGGAATGTGAAGGAGAGAAGATTTGGCCTGTACAAGGTCCCATTCCTCTCCCTCTCCCCCACTTTCTTAAAGACAAGGTCCCACAAAAATATTTCACAGGTCAAGCAGCCCTAGTAGCATGTTCATTCTCAGCAAAGAGACATCTGTGACATCTTTTTGATTTCATTTCAAAGACAATTTAGCAATTAGAGGGGGAAAAAAACAACAACTTTTTTTCAACCCAGGGTTGGTTCATGTACCCCTAATATTCAGACCGGTGATATTACTATTAATAATATTACTTGTTTTTTATCTATTTATAAATATCAGAGCAGATTCAGGTCATCACACACTTTCTGTGTTCGTTGTAATAAATCTTAATGGATAGATAGACAAACAATTATTTTCAAAACATGTTTTGTACCAACCAACAGTATGTGTTTCAGGGTTGAATATGCAAAAACTAATAGGAAAATATAACGATCGATAGAAGTCTATCACTGAAAACTGAAAATATTTTCTCAACATTGAAACTAATATCAATGTTTTGATAATAATTATTTGAAGTGAATCATTTAACTATATAGTGCTGTCTTTAGAAGGCTTTTGTCTTTCAAACACATTCAAATGTACAAATTAATTTCATATTTACTTGCAATGCAGAGATTCCCCAACTTTTTTATCAGCTGAACCTCTTTGAAAATATTAATTTAAAGTACACCCCTGATATTTTAAGATAAGAAGTGAGGTCAATAAAACAAAATGGCTCTCTGATGTCGGTTAATGGAACCATGACATGCAGGTAAACACATTTTAAAAAGTGTTTTATTTTGATCGTTTTTCGTTAAACTCACAAACCCCATTGCAAGTTCCATCAAAAACCTCAGTCTGGCATAATGCAATATTTAATGCACACCATGTTGTTAATAACCATCACGGTTGAGTGGCTGCAATAAAGTGCACGGCAATCTGAGAATATAAAAACTTTATTAAATCTAACAGGTAACGGGAGATCACTGAGGGAAACAAGATAACAGACTATACCGGACAAAGAATTAAGGGAACGTATCACTGTAAAAAAATATTGATGGTTTAACTTAAAAGAGTAAGTAACCTGGTTGCCTTAAAATTTTAAGTTCATTGAACTGGAAAAAGTGAGATAATACAATGAAGGAGATTAATTTAACCATCAGAAACTCAAAATTATATGCTATCTCAACTAAATAAATTATTTAAGTTGATTTGACAAAATAAACAATGTTGTGATTACACTGTAAAAAATATATTGTTGGTTTAACTTAAAAAAGTAAGTAACCTGGGTTGCCTCAAAATTTTAAGTTGATTGAACTGGAAAAAGTGAGTAATACAATGAAGGAGATCGATTTAACCATCAGAAACTCAAAATAATAAGTTATCTCACAACTAAATAAATTATTATAAAGTTGATTTGACAAAAGAAAATATGTTGTGATAACAAATCTTGAAAATATTTAAATACACAGGGATATGGAATTAACTACAACTAAACAGGTGACACAACTAACTAGAACACGAGCAAATGAGCACATGGAGGAGCCCGATCTCATGAAAGTTCGTATCTATAGCACGAATGTCATTTCTTGTGCCATTTATACGCCAAAATGGTACGCATTTTTCGTGTGCATATGATATCACAAACACAAACTCCCCACTCCCCTCCCCCCTAAACCCACCCAAGGGGTTTTCAGTGCGCAGAAAAAAACTTTTTTGGCGTAAAAATGCCACGAGAAATGACATTCGTGGTATAGATACGCACTTTCATGAGACTGTGTTGCATGGAGAATTACACCAAAACACAAAGAAACTAAACCAAACTGTGACAACAACAACAAAAAAAGAATTATTTAATAATATAAAGAATATTTTTATCATATTCAAATCAATGTAAATAACAACTTAGGTCAAAAGTAATCCAAAAGTAATCATTATATGTAATGGATTATATTACTAATTTGTAAGTAATTAATGCAGCACTGTACACACACACACACACACACACACACAGTGAATTAGATTGATTTATGGAGGATCATGTGACACTGAAGAGTAATGATGCTGAAAATTCAGCTTTGCCATCACAGGAATAAATTACATTTTAAAAAAATATATTCAAATGGAAACACATATTAGCACAGCCTTGGTAAGCATTAGAGGCTGTTTTTGGCCAGTAGTTCAGTATTTTTCTTTTATCAGTGTCATTTTTATTCTTAAATTCATATCTAAGTAATGCCTGACAGCTCAAATCTATGATGTGATGACCTCCAGCAACTAAACCAGACCTCAACTTACTGAT